TCTCCGGCTCTGTTCCGAGCCCCAGGCAGAAGCAGCATCTGGAGGGGACGAGCCCCGGGGTCATGGCCGCATCTCAGCCTCTGGCTGAGGTCTAAGGGAGCGTCCAGGGTACCCCATGTGCCCACGTGGGACACCCCCATGTCAGATCCCCCCCCCATCTCCCACCCCCCCACATGGGGAACCCCATCTCCCGCCCCCCATGTCAGATCCCCCCTATGTCAGATCCATCCCATCTCCCATCTCCCCCACGTGGGACACCCCCCATCTCCCGCCCCCCATGTCGGACACCCACCATCCCCCATTTCTGCGCCCTACTGGGGGGGATGTATCAGCCCCATGGATGCTTCCCTCAATCCCGCCCCGCTGCCCCCCCCCCGCCCCGGCGTACGGCTGGCACAGCTTGACGAGGTCCTGGTCGGTGGTGCCCGGGTGCAGGCCCCGGATGTACAGGTTGGTTTTGCTCAGCTGGTCCCCGCCTCCCCCGCCGCCTCCGCTGCTGCTGCTGCTGCTGTTGTTGTTGCTGCCGCTGGGACTCGGGGGCGCCATCTGCTGGGCCACTGACACATAAGGCTGCTGGGAGACAAGAGGGGGAGGAGCTGGTGAGCAGGGGGCGGGGCTCCCGAGGGACATTGGTGGGGGCGGTGGGATCCGCAGCTGGCTGGCTCACGTTCCCCCTCCAGCTCTTTGAATCTTTCCTCCTGCCCAGGGGTCTCAGGGAGCAACAGAAAGAGGGGCTGCCTGCCCCATCCTTAGCGGGGAGGGGAGAGAGACGGGGGGCAGGCTGGGGGCAGCGGACAGACGGCAAAGGGAGTTTCCACTGAACCCGAGGCCTGATTGTAACAACCCCCTGCCTCAGGTACCGGGGACCTGAGTAAGTCAGTGATGACGGGGGCCAGTTTAAACCATCCTAGGTACAGTCAATGGCATGAGGCCTGAGGGGATGCAGGGGGGGCTGAGTCTGAGGGGGTCGAATCTGAGGCTTCACCCCCCAAACCATCCCCGCACACCGGCTAGGGCTTGATCACGGAACCCCAACTGCTAAATGCCCAACTCCTGCCCCCTCCCGGCCTGATGGGCCTGGGGCAAATGCCTGGGGACCCGGGGGGGTGATTCCCGGCCACCCCGATATGTACACACATGCCCCGCCCCCTGGGAGAGGCAGCAAAAATCCCAGTGCTGCCACCAACTCCAACCAATCAGAACGCAGCATGCAAACAAGCTGAAGTCAGCCATGTGGCCATTGTGACATCACAATGAGCTGCCCAATGAGGAAAGCGGCTCAAAACAGCTTTAATATTGAATTAAAGTTCTTCAGTGCGGGGGGGGG